AACCCCAAAAAAAAAAAAAAAAAAAAAAAAAAACCACCACACATAACCAGGCTGTTCTTTTCAGTGTTTTCAGTGTGACTAATTCAGCAGAATGAAAAATTTGCAGAGAAAACATTACAGCTTTTTGGTTATCTATTAAGATTGTTTCAACCCGGGCTGGGGATTTAGCTCAGTGAGTTCCATCCCTGGTACCACCCACCCCCAAATAAAAGATTGTTTCAACTTAGCTAACAAATAAGAAAGCATCAGAAAACAAACATACAAACAAATAAAAACCTACAAGTTGTAGTGACCCTAAAGTTGACCTGGTCACCAAGTAACTATGTTCCCCAATTTGAAGGCATCCACTGGCATGCAAAGCACGGGTGTGAGCGTCAGGTCTGAGACAGCTGTCCAGCCCCAGCAGGCAGGCGGGCGGGCAGTCCTCCGCACCGAGGCTCCTTGCCCTAGCCTCCCTCACCTGGGTCACCCAAGGGTGTCCACAGACACTGCCCACGGCCCCAGGGTCAGGCGTGGGGGAAGAATGGGTCCCAGCTGAGGACCTGAGGCAGAAGCGCTGTGCACTGAGCAGCGGGGTCCCTGGGAGCCGGCACCCCCATGACGCGGCGCCCCTGTCCCCACCTGACTCTGCCAGCATCTTCACAGCCTTGGCCTTGGCCAGCTCGAGGGCGGTCACCCAGCGCTGCCGCTCCACCTCTGAGCTGGCCTTCAGGTGGTAGGTCTGCGCGCCCCCGTTGGAGATGATGAAGTTGCAGGAGTCCTCCACGGTGATGTTGGCCGTGGCCAGGTTGATGGTGCCGCGGCAGGTGTGCCTCATTTCCGCCTTTGACCTGCAGTCAGGAGACGGGCAGCTGAGCATGGGCAATGGCACATCGTCCGTCCTTGGGGACATTCATCTTTTTTCCTAACCCTGAGTCCTTTGAAAAGCGAAGTCTTAGGAATCCACAAATCTAGCTATGTTTCGTTTAAACAATCTCCTCAACAGTAGGGCATTTCTTTCTGAAGATGTAAAGCACTGTTTCTGAGTCAGATGTTATTGTTCCCTATTCCTCTCACTATTAGCTTTTTAAACAGGCTTTATTGAGCTCTCACTGCTACATGCAATATTAATTCAGCGATTTTAAGGGCACAATTAATGAATTTTCACAATATCCACTTGTGTATCACCACCACTGCAATCAAGATGTAGGACATTCCCTTCACCTCAAAAAGTTCCCTTGTGTCTTTGTGCAGTCAAGAAGTACTTTCTCCTTGCAAGTTATGCAGTGCTTTCTGAGTCCCTGCAACACAGTTCCACACAGTCCCACTTCCTATGATAGCTCCACTCTACACGGGCGGGCGCGCTGGGCACTGCCCTCACTGTAAATTGGCCCAGTGAGATGTGTCACACGGAGCAGGAGTGAGAGGCACCCTCCCGTGCTTACACAGTATAGGTGGGGGCTCGGGCGGTATGAAATACAAATAACCAGGGCTTGGCACAGTACAGAAAGAATAATCATGAAAAATTCCCGGGCATATTCATCTTTCTGGAATATAAGGACTGCGGGCCTGCACGGTGGGAACTCCTAAGCCACCCTATTAATAGCTAGGAAAGACTCAGCACATCTGCGCTCTGTGGACTGGGTGTAACAATTTTCCCAATCTCTCCTGACAGCTCTATTAATAGCTTCACTTTTGAACTTTCCATCAGTATTTGGTGACAAGCTACCAGGTACTTCACATAAAATATCAAGCTTCCCCCCATCGAGTGCACAGCGAAAACTACATGAATTTCTCCACAGCCCACTGCTTAGGCTGGGGCACCTGCACATGGAGACTGCACTTTTCCCTGTCCAACTTGGAACATAAAAAGGTCAAAGTCCCTAGCCAACAGCACAGAGCCGAGGTATTTCCTTTCAGGGGAGCCAAGTGGCCAAACACCTGCACAGCCAGAATTCCTGCATGCCAGCAATGCACACGCCCTCGCTTGGAAACTGAGGTTTCCTATGTTTGAGAAAGTCTGTCAACTGTGCTTCGGAAGACAGATTTGCTGTTGTGCGTCTGTCACATTAAACTGTTTTTTTCTTCCTCAAATGCACAAAATGAGCAGTCTGGGTGGTGGGGGGGGGGGGGGGGGGGGGTCATCTCAATGGATGGGGCCACTTTCCACCACCTGCACCTGCCCCGCTGCGCCGTAACGTGAGTAACGTGAGCCCGGCTTTTTCTATTCTTACCGCCCCACCCCCAGCTTCAGTTACATATGAATAAAGCAGCCTGAATTACAGATGCACAGCTGACAGCCGGCTCACCCTGGCTTTCTAGTCCAAAGGTGCTGCTTGGACCTTCTGTCACATTCCCCCTTATCCTTACTGCTGCTTCTCCTGAACCACAGCCCAGGAGCCTCTTCCGCCTGGGGGACCTCGTGGTCTACATAACTGCCTCAAACATGAAGTCTACAGCAGTTTAACAAGGAACTGTGGGGGCAAAGCGGGCATGACCTCAAAGTTCTCAGGTTTGAGCAGACAGATCAATGCTTATAAATGATTAGTGCAGAAGGTAAAAAGACACGACTCTCAGGGTGTAAGCAAAGGTCTTAAGGCTCCACAGCAGTATTAGGTGGTATTTTCTGACTAGAAAGTTCCTGGGTAAAAAGGCCAGCTCAAATAGTAATTTAACCTCTAGAAGCTGGCCAAGAAAACCAATATTCCAGCCTGTTCTGATGTTTCTGAGAGAGCTGGGAATCCGCACAAGGTTTTAAGTAACAGAGCATCTCGTATGGGCGTGCAAGGAAGCATGGGGTGTGAGAAGCACAAGCAGCTTGGCAGAGTCTATGAGGGCAGCTCCTCAGAGGATGAGGCAAGGGAGTACGGAGAAGGAAGCCAGTAATATGGGGAGGGCACAAACAGGAGCTCGCAGGGTGGGAGGCCTACAGAGCAGCAGGCATGGCACGCCTGCTAAAGGGTTCGAGGAGAGAGACGACACCAGAGAACTCGATGAGGAGAGTGTACTGCCTGTGCCCTTCTAGGCAGAAGCCAGCACCGGACTCCGTGGTAATCTAACCTTGAGGGTACAACACAGAGGCAATGACCTGACTCTTGCTGCTTGGTTCACTGTGGGTGGGACCATCATAGTAGGAAAGAACAGGCCAATCACATATTTTCCTGTAAGTGGGCTTCCTTGTTTTGTTTTGAGACAAGGTCTCAGTATGTCTTCCAGGGCTGGCCTTGAACTCACTATGGAGCCCAAGCTGGCCTGAATCTCAGTGATCTTCCTGCCTCAGCCTCCTGAGTGCTGGGATTACAGACCTGAGTCATCACACCCGGCAAGGGTTGGTATTTTCTGGAAGGAATTTTATTTGTAGTCAGACAGGTGTCACTAGCTCTTGTAAGAGAGAAGTTAAAAGTGACTCCAAATACAACATGTGAGTTACTGCTGTCCAAGATCAGTACTGTCCAAGACTGGGGCAGAACAAAGGCTCAGCTGGCTGGAAGGTGGGTAACATAGCTTGGACGAAGGGAAAAGACCATGCGTTAAGGCCGTTGGTTACACATCCAGCTAACAGCGATTTGCGGCCACGCTGAGATCCTAAGCAACCCCCATGAGAATGACAGAGTGACAACAGGAAGACATGGAGTGGAGTGGGGAGAAGACACACAGCAAACTACAACTCGAGGATTACGTTCTAACCCTGGACGAACAGTCAGAAAAGCTAAAATGAAAATCAAATCTGAAAATAATGTAACCGAGAAACATGACTGCATCTTTTACCCTTAGGGGACAGATAAAAATATACTCCTACCCACACCCTCCAACTCCTCTGTCTTGCCTCCAAATTCAATAAAAGCCAATAAAACGGCAAAGAGGGCCGCTCACCCCTAACTCTCCTGTCGGCAGAGATGTCCCTGATGGGAAAGAAACTCTAAGGGAGCTCCTCCTCAACATCAGGATTTTGAGGCCCAAATCACAGTCTCAGGGAAAAGATTTCAATTAGAAATGACATCAGAGTAAAGACTCCCTTCATGGCTACTTTTTAAACTTTCTGTGTAAAATACACACAGTAACCATAACCTACAAACTTAACTTGCCCGGACAACTAACTACTTCTCTCCTGAATGATTCACACAACGCTAACCTGGGTTTTGAGTTATGTTGGTGCGAATAAAAGTGGTTTGGACTCTGGATTCCTCCGACACCGGGAAGGCTGCCCGCGCGTTTCCTCATCACTCAGGCGGGCAAACCTCCTCACTCCCAGCGTGGCTGTGGGAGCCAGGGCCAAATGTACGGAAATATGGGAAACATCCTGCCGCGATGTTCCAGCCCTAGGGAATGTTTACGTCCGGACCCCAGATCGCCTCGCTAACACCTCTGTGGTGACCGGAGAGATTGACCGAACAGGTGCTGTCCAACAGAAATCGGCACATCCAAGGCTCGCGGTCTTCTCTTACTCGAGCCTCATCCCCAGTAACGCAGGAGACAGGGAAGCGCCGGACCGGGCGCCTAATCGCCCCCACGGGAGGAGGTGGCAAGCAGGCAGCCCTGCAGCAGCGCGGCCGGACTCGGGTCCCGAGACACCGAGAGGAAGGGCAGGGGCTGAAGCCACGCCGGGCGCCCCGCGAAGGGAGCGAAGCTAGGAGTAACCTCGGCTCTCGCTGCTCCTCCG